TGCAGAGGAGCTCTGTTGATAGGCCTCTTTGCATCAAGGACCAATCGCCAACTTGCATGGTTTTTCAGCTGGCTCCCAAATCCAGACAGTGAAGTGGTGGACGCGTTCCTACATAAGTGGCTTCCTCTAGGAACATATGCGTTCCTAACTTTTTTCCATGTTGGCGAGAGTTCTACACCAACTACATGTGCAGAGGATCTCACTGCTACTGACTGCCCCACTATGGCTGAGCCAAGCATGGTTCCCAGACCTGTAGGAACTGTCCTACAACCATCAACTTCTATGTTTCTATAATTTTAATAATTCGGTAAAGGTGAATCCTGCTGGTATGAAGGGTAACTTATTATTACACCCAAATAGGAGGCTCCTTGCATGCTATGACACACCATACATGCACGGCCCAATCACTAAGACACAGACAGTATGTCAGCCAGGTGTGCCCAGCGATGTTTGGGGGGGTGCTAGATGGTGGGATGGAAGTTGGCTGTATGCCCGACTGTTTTGGCTTTGCTCATTAACCCCTTGTTTTCAATGAGTGGTCTCACACTGTCCCCTATGGGTCAACCCCCTGCTGAGTGCAGAATTGAATAAAGAAATCCAGACACAGCGTTTGTTTTACTAGATTTCTACACAGGATACAATAAACGAGAATTTCTGTATATTATCTATTAATGAGTTTATGTCTGCAGACAGACCCCACCATGGAGATTAAAAATCAGAATTAATTAATAATATAGTGACTGCTGCATGCAGGAGGGTTATACTGGGGGAAGGTAAAGGAACGCAGCACAGCCAGGACATGGTAACTGGATATATATACCCAAAACGTACGTAAATTCCATGAAACTGACTCACAGGCTAAATCCAGGTATATCTGGTAAATTCCGACGGAGGAAGGGGACAGGTGAAAGAAGGTTTGATACAGTGACATAGCATGATGTGTATATGTACAACATTCATGACATAAGCTCCTTTCAGATTCAGGTTCCAGCAGCAGGACATGTTTTCTGGCTGCACTGTTCCCTGGCAGGAAGACCGGCTACAGAGCGGTTGCCTGGGCCGGTGAGCAAAGAAAAACCTTTGTAAACGCCGGAAATACCTGCAAGTAGAGGGGTGGATCGCAGCCTGGGAGAAGGAATGTGCAAAGGGGAGGATGCCAGTTCAGGGTAAGGAATGTGCACAGGGGAGGATGCCAGTCCGGGGTAAGGAATGTGCAAAGGGGAGGATGCCAGCCTGGGAAAAAGAATGGGCAAAGAGGAGGATGCCAGTCTGGGGTAAGGAATGGGCAAAGGGGAGGATGCCAGCCTGGGAGAAGGAAAGTGCTCAAAACTAAGGCAATATCCCAAATCCCCCCAGTAACCAGACGAAACACAGTTCTGGGAGTCAACTGACGATTTTATTCACAAGCTCCAGTATTTTTGTGGTTCCCCATGCAAGGGGTTTCCTTACTGACTTTACAGGGGTTGTACAGTAGGGGACAACATGGGGGACTTAACATACAGAACATTCCTCCCACCATGCACTGCTGTGCGAGAGGGATACTCCCACTAGAATATCCTGTTAAGTAGATTATCCCTCCGTACAGCAGAACCGGCTTTTCACATAAAAATCCGTAACTTACATATTATTCGTGCCATTGTACAGAATGACGTTCGGCAGATAGCTGGGGTCTGAGCGCATACTTCGTGAAAGTACCGCTCAGATCCCAGCACAATCAGCCGAACGCCGCACGAAATACACTTCAATATACATTCCTTGTAAAAGTCACGAATACACAAGTGGGGAAAAAGTACCGAAAGACCGGCGCTCCCGAACGGCCTGGAAGTCCCGCGGTGTTCGTGCCGTTGAGTAGACGATTTTAATTCCAGGCACTCGACGACCAAACACCGCTGGGCAAAAAGGGAATCCAAGATGGCCGCCGCCTCGTGGTCGGTAGCCGAACGACGGCCACCCTGTGAATCAATTACCAGCCGATGGATACATTGTTGCAATCGGTTAATGGGAGCCACACGACCCCCTGTGTGTGGGCTCCCATTCGGTACTTTGTTCGTTTCACGAACAGTGTTGAAAGTCACTGTTCGTGAAACTACCATATGAATGCTAGCGGCTTTCATGCCACTAGCATACGAATTCCCTCTTTCACATTTTAAGCAAACACATCAAACATCATATATAAACCAGTCTTTCTAGGGCAACCCTCAAAGATAAACAAAATAGTCTGAAGTGGCTAGGTTTGCCACAGTGATATTTTATTAAACCAAGATACACAGAGGTTCTCCTACGCCATGTCATAAATAAGCCAGAAACGACAGACACAGAGAAACAGTCAAATTGACAAAGAGATTAAAAGCAAAGTCTTATATCGTGCAACACCACACTGCCTGCTGGTCCTGTGGCACCGACCAGAAACCTCCAGTCTATACAACAGCCACAAGCCTGGAATTACTGTGGAAAGCATCAGTGGACGGTAACACTAAATAAAGCTCGGTGCAGGAGGTCTGCCACATTATCAGATCATTACGGCCATTTGAGTGTGAGAGAGTGGATCAGTATATCTCCACCACACTCCACCGTCACTGTGCTCCGTACTAATAAACTAACAGCTTCATGCTCTCTCTAAACTCAGTAATGCTTTTATGAAGGCGTGTTTCTCTAGATATCAGGAATTTACATCAAAGCTTCGTCAACCATAACACACATTTTAATTGGATTTTCTGATTAAAAAGAACTTTAACAGTGGAAGCCTGTTCTCTGAGCACCACAATGTCAGATTCCCTTCTCCACCAAACAGTTTACATACGTGATCCATGCTATAAAACACGCTACCCTGTGCACAGCAGGAAATAAAGCTATCACGTTAACATTACTGTAATGAAAAGCGCAATACTTCAAACGTTCCTTTAATTAAAAGTGTTATAAAAAACAATCCCACTGTATCATTGTGTATCATTGTGTATTATTGTGTATTATTATGTATCATGGTGTATCATTGTGTATCATGGTGTATCATGGTGTATTATGTATCATGGTGTATTATTGTGTATCATAGTGTATCATTGTGTATTATTGTGTATCATGGTGTATCATTGTGTATTATTGTGTATTATTGTGTATCATTGTGTATCATGGTGTATTATTATGTATCATGGTGTATCATTGTGTATCATGGTGTATTATTATGTATCATGGTGTATCATGGTGTATCATGGTGTATCATGGTGTATTATTGTGTATCATGGTGTATCATGGTGTATCATTGTGTATCATGGTGTATCATTGTGTATTATTGTGTATCATGGTGTATCATTGTGTATCATGGTGTATCATTGTGTATTATTGTGTATCATGGTGTATCATTGTGTATCATTATGTATCATGGTGTATTATTGTGTATCATGGTGTATCATGGTGTATCATTGTGTATCATGGTGTATTATTGTGTATCATGGTGTATCATTGTGTATCATTGTGTATTATTATGTATCATGGTGTATTATTGTGTATCATGGTGTATCATGGTGTATCATTGTGTATCATGGTGTATTATTATGTATCATGGTGTATTATTATGTCAGATTATGGATATATTTAATGAACAACGAATCCATCGGCTACGAAGCAGGCAGCAGTTGACTGGGTAGAGGGGAGATTTGATGTTATCGTGGGATGTAGGTTCTGCCTATCAGAGTATTAAGTGAAATATGATCGGGCAGGCAAGTAATGCAAGAAACGTCTCTGAATTATGGTCATATTATTGATGTTTGAACACACAGAAACCATGTGAAGGAGCAGTACTGGATGGAGACGCTATAGTCAAGCCGGATATAAATAAAATAATCCCAAATCATGGCTGGCTTGGGGTGCACACCCTGAATATAAACACTCTTCTGTTATACGACATAAAACAGGAATGCAGGAAAACCGTTTTTTAAGACACTTTGTATAAAGCAATAATTATTCCCATCTGTAAGAAGACTTTAATTCTCCCAGTCAATTATTATCGAGATTTCCAGACCGCATTGCCATAATTAGAGTCCACGAGCCCGCAACGCCAACTGCGCACCAACTGTGGTCGATTTGTTATTTTGGGATAATAACGAGCATGGAATATACTTTCTCCTTATTAAATAACAGGTTCCAGGGAAGCAGACGTGGCTTTCTAAGAAGCACATTCAATCACCGGAGGCAGGTTCTACGACTACTGCATTCAAGATTAGAATTTATAAGATATAAACAGCCTCCACTCTATCACAAATGTCCTGTAGGGGTGGAGATTGTTTAATCTATTCTGTCCTGAAATGTCTCTGTGCTGTCAGTGGCTGAGCTGTGTATGCAGGCTGCGTAGCTCCGTGCTGTCAGTGGCTAATCTGTGTATGCAGGCTGCGTGGCTCTGTGCTATCAGTGGCTGAGCTGCGTATGCAGGCTGCGTGGCTCCGTGCTGTCAGTGGCTAATCTGTGTATGCAGGCTGTGTTGCTCTGTGCTGTCAGTGGCTAATCTGTGTATGCAGGCTGTGTTGCTCTGTGCTGTCAGTGGCTAATCTGTGTATGCAGGCTGTGTTGCTCTGTGCTGTCAGTGGCTGAGCTGTGTATGCAGGCTGTGTGGCTCCGTGCTGTCAGTGGCTGAGCTGTGTATGTAGGCTGCGTAGCTCCGTGCTGTCAGTGGCTAATCTGTGTATGCAGGCTGTGTTGCTCTGTGCTGTCAGTGGCTGAGATGTGTATGCAGGCTGCGTGGCTCCATGCTGTCAGTGGCTGAGCTGTGTATGCAGGCTGCGTAGCTCCGTGCTGTCAGTGGCTGAGCTTTGTATGCAGGCTGCGTAGCTCCGTGCTGTCAGTGGCTGAGATGTGTATGCAGGCTGCGTAGCTCCGTGCTGTCAGTGGCTGAGCTGTGTATGCAGGCTGCGTAGCTCCGTGCTGTCAGTGGCTGAGCTGTGTATGCAGGCTGCGTAGCTCCGTGCTGTCAGTGGCTGAGCTTTGTATGCAGGCTGCGTAGCTCCGTGCTGTCAGTGGCTGAGATGTGTATGTAGGCTGCGTGGCTCCGTGCTGTACGTGGCTGAGCTGTGTATGTACACTGATAAGGAATGTGGAGGCCAGAAGGCAGGCTTATAGTGTAGCATTCTGTAAAACATTTGTTGTAGGAATAACTATAAATTTCTGAATGTGCAAAAATACATCATATTAAACCATTTATTAGATTATGAACTCATTAACAATGAATAAATCAGCGGAGTATCCCTTTAACGTAATGGCTTTGGCGCACATAATAGAAAACTTCGCCTTTTCTGAGAAATGTCTCAATTTTACCAAACACACGCCTCTTTCTATCAAATGACAGCAATGGCCAGTATTTCCACAATGAAGGATTCGCCTGGACCAGAGATCTTTATGATGATTTTACAAGATCTGGCTGCAGAGAGGAGTCTGGCTTTTATAACCCTGCCAACCCCTCCCCCCGCCCTTTTTTTTATTTTTAAACAAGGAGGGGGTCAAGAATCTACACTAAATTAAGAACATTCTAATGTAAAAAACAAAACTAAAAACAGTAGAGTAACGCGATCCTGTGACCGGTAGCACGACTTATCTCCACTGACGGGTAACATGATCCCATTATCTCCACTGACGGGTAACATGATCCCATTATCTCCACTGACGGGTAACATGATCCCATTATCTCCAGTAACATGATCCCATTATCTCCAGTAACATGATCCCATTATCTCCAGTAACGGGTAACATGATCCCATTATCTCCAGTGACGGGTAACATGATCCCATTATCTCCAGTAACATGATCCCATTATCTCCAGTAACATGATCTTATTATCTCCAGTAACGGGTAGCATGATCCCATTATCTCCACTGACGGGTAACATGATCCCATTATCTCCAGTAACGGGTAACATGATCTTATTATCTCCAGTAACATGATCCCATTATCTCCAGTAACATGATCTTATTATCTCCAGTAACGGGTAACATGATCTTATTATCTCCAGTAACATGATCCCATTATCTCCAGTAACATGATCTTATTATCTCCAGTAACGGGTAGCATGATCCCATTATCTCCACTGACGGCTAACATGATCCCATTATCTCCACTGACGGCTAACATGATCTTATTATCTCCAGTAACGGGTAACATGATCCCATTATCTCCGGCGATGGGTAACATGATCTTATTATCTCCAGTAACGGGTAACATGATCTTATTATCTCCAGTAACGGGTAACATGATCCCATTATCTCCAGTAACGGGTAACATGATCCCATTATCTCCAGTAACATGATCCCATTATCTCCAGTAACGGGTAGCATGATCCCATTATCTCCAGTAACGGGTAACATGATGCCATTATCTCCAGTAACGGGTAACATGATCCCATTATCTCCAGTGACTGGTACCACGACCTATCTCCACTGACGGGTAACATGATCCCATTATCTCCAGTAACATGATCCCATTATCTCCAGTAACATGATCCCATTATCTCCACTGACGGGTAACATGATCCCATTATCTCCAGTAACATGATCCCATTATCTCCAGTAACGGGTAACATGATCCCATTATCTCCAGTAACGGGTAACATGATCCCATTATCTCCAGTAACACGATCCCATTATCTCCAGTAACGGGTAACATGATCCCATTATCTCCAGTAACGGGTAACACGATCCCATTATCTCCACTGACGGGTAACATGATCCCATTATCTCCAGTAATATGATCCCATTATCTCCAGTAACATGATCCCATTATCTCCAGTGACGGGTAACATGATCCCATTATCTCCAGTAACATGATCCCATTATCTCCAGTAACATGATCCCATTATCTCCAGTAACGGGTAACATGATCCCATTATCTCCAGTAACATGATCCCATTATCTCCAGTAACGGGTAACATGATCCATTATCTCCAGTAACATGATCCCATTATCTCCAGTAACGGTAACATGATCCCATTATTATCTCCAGTAACATGATCCCATTATTCCAGTAACGGTAAATATGATCTATATTCCATTAACATGATCCTATTATTCTCCAGTGTAACATGATCCTATTATTCCAGTAACGGTAACATGATCCCATTATTCCAGTAACATGATCCTAGCTGACTCTTGTGTAACTGGTAACATGATCTTATTATCTCCAGTAACGGGTAGCATGATCCCATTATCTCCAGTAACGGGTAACATGATCTTATTATCTCCAGTAACGGGTAGCATGATCCCATTATCTCCAGTAACGGGTAACATGATCCCATTATCTCCAGTAACATGATCCCATTATCTCCAGTAACGGGTAACATGATCTTATTATCTCCAGTAACGGGTAGCATGATCCCATTATCTCCAGTAACGGGTAACATGATCTTATTATCTCCAGTAAC